ATCATCAGAGCGAGGTAACATCGTCACAACAAAATTCAAGCTAACGAGTCAAGAAAACTCACCGGAAAATACCTAAAAAGTGGTATATATACTCTAAATCTGGCCTCTTTGATGAAGTATAAAGTGATTTGGTTGGTTAAGATCATATGTCAAATCACTTTATACTTGATCAAAGAAGCCAGATGTAGAGTAGATATACCACTTTTTAGGGATTCGCCGGTGAGTTTTCTTGACTTGTTAGCTTAAATTTGCTTGTGACGATGATACCTTGCTCTGATGATGTTCGTCATAAAACGGACTAAAGCTTAGCACCTTTTCACCGGAATCGAAGGAGATTGCCTCAAAAACAGCGTCAGCTTGAATTTTCCGGTGAAACCAACTTACGAATCCCTCCCACTCGCCTCAAACGAAATTAAAGGTACTCTAAAATGAAAATCATTGTATGACCGTCTGAAGTCTGGCTGCATATGGGCCTTCAATTCCGGCCCCCGTTTACGCCATATGCGAGAATTTCAAAGGGGTTATTCTCAAGCCTAAGCATCTTCCCTTATCAGACTTCATACCCATCACCCAGTCATCCTCTTTCTCACCTCCGCCCCATTCTCTCTCTCTTTCTTGGGCCCTGTGCCTGGCCTGATTGTGAACCGCTTGTGTGAAAATGGACCGTTTTACTTGATCCCTCCTGAATCACGGTAAAACACACTTTTCTATCGTAAGTTGACAGTTCCACCTAATCCTAAGCATGCATACATTGGTTGGCAATCTGTCCAGTCAGACATGCCTCCAGTCCCCTCTCTACAGGCGCGCACACGGAAAATGCACACAAGCACACACACACACACACACACACAGGACAAACTGATAGTGGGCTCCCCAGCTCAATTTCCACACACGAATGAATTGAAACTGGACAGAAACCTTTAGGCTAGCACTTTTAATGGTGTTCAATCTGTATAAGATGTATTCACCCAATTTCGTTTAAGGTGATGAAAGACTGGTAGAAGTT